CTCACTATTAAAAAAATCGCGACTCTTCTCCTATGATTCTCTCTCTTGTTAGCCTCAAGACTCCAGGTTTAGCCATTTGAATAAATTGGTCCAAAACCTTTAACATCCTTGCTGGCCTCAGAAAAAATTTTGAGTGAGAGAAATAAAAATTATTTTGTAAATTAGTCTTAAAAGAATCAACTGCTTGGACTGCTTTGTGGCCATGGCAAGAAGTAATCATTTTTTAAAATATATTTCCAGTTCAAACCTTCAAAGAAAGGCTATTTAAATTGATAAACTCATTATTCTCATCAGTCACAAAAATTTTCATAGAGGGGATGTAATTCCTTGGTGATATTTTTTGTTGGGTTGGGATTTCAGAATGATAGTTCATCCTGTCGAAGGGCTGTCCAACAAGTGGAAGCATTCAACAATGCTTCCTGGCTCTCCACTGAATATGTTTTCACTCTCGTCCAAAAGATCACAGTGGACAAGGTAGTTGGAAAATGATGTAAACCTTTTTGATGAAGTTGATGGTTTGCAAACATCATTTAATTGTGAGAAGATTAAACAGATCGTTGTCAGTAAGGATATGCTTATTTTGAGGATTTTGGATTTCCAAAACTCCTTTTGCAGTATTTAATTCAACTTTCACTCCTACATTCTTCAATTACCATGAAGAGCTTGGATAAAGCTGTAGAGTGAATAATTACCTTCTGAAATTCTCCTTACAGTTGCAGTGCCTTGCAGTGATTTCTCCACTTCACTTCAAATTCCCTGTAATTAATTCAAGTGTTGAAAAGAGAACAGCTCACTAGCATGATAGCACATTTGAAAGTTCCAGGTGGTTTGTTGGTTTGAAATGAACTTCCCATCAAAAATTGCCAATGCTTTTGTCACGTTTGAATCAAATTATTGAAGGTTGTGAAAAGATAGTCCTAGCCTTTGAATTGTTTAAAGTAATTTAAAGTTTTAAAATATTATAGATTTTACTGTGTGGTTGTGAGTGTGAAATTTGGGAGTGAATGGAATGTGAACAGTGTTTTCCTTCTCAGCCATTTGTAGTGCTGACTGTCTATCAATTTGTTGGATACAATGATGGCCCACTTAAACGATAGAAACAGGATAGCCACGTTTATTGAAAAACTGGCACATTGCATATGATTTTTTGGAAAAATCAGAGTCATCACTACATAAAGGACAAAGTCTGAGATACTGAAAAAGGTATGGAATTCTTGACTTGTGATGAATGGGAATATGAATACAACAGCTAGGTAACTATGTGAATCTGTAGGTTTGTAGTAAAGACTGGTGCTTAAACCATTGCTTCAATTTAAATTTTGATGTTTAGAAAAGGCAAAAAGTGAAGTTTCAAGAATGGTAGAAGTCAAACGATTGCTAAGATTATTGACCCAAACTCCAACTCCAAGGCGCACTTCACTTTTAGTCGTGGTTTTTATGAAGTGGTATCTTGAAGTTTGGAGCTGTGTTTGATGTTTGTTGAGAAAATCAGTATAGTCAGTAAGTGTTGGGATGCCTGTTTGAAAAAACTAAGGCTTTTCTTTTAAGGAAAGGGGACAACCAAGAACCCACTGTCACCACAAGAATGCAACTACAAGATACACAAACAGCCAACAAAATTCAAAGGTACAGGTAAAACGTCATCTTAAGGACTTGCACTTCCTCTTCTACTCCCAAATGAACTTTCCTGAATAACATAGAAAAAAACAGCTCCTAGAAGTTGCACTGTGATTGGAAGTGGCCTTCATAAAGCCCCGAAAACCACATGATTTTTTCCCTTTCACCTGTAAACATGACTCTCTTGTGAAAGCTGACAAATCAAATCCTTTGCCTCTGTTGGGCCAATTGGTCAAAATGCTAATTTCCTCCAGAACATAAAGGCCATCCACTGGAATCTAAAAACTGTGACAATTTCTGCTTAATGGTATTTTAAAGCTTGTTTTTTTTTTGTTTTTCTTCAGGGTAAAATACACAAGCCCAGGTTTCTCCGCTCTGTCATGTGATAGGAAGTCACATTCAGGTGAGATGCAGAAATGGCAAAAATATCAAAAAGCAAAGCTCAAGTTCTGTTTTACCATGTCTTACTAAAAACAAATAGAAATTTGAATTCCATTTTTCAAACTCAAAAAAGCAGTAAACAGAATGGAAGTTCAAATTCTGTTTTTCGATGTGATAGGAAAAGGGAATACAAAAATGAAAGTTTGATTTCCATTATCCCCATGTTGTAGGGTATGAAAGCTGTTGGCACTAAGATGCATGCATTATTTTGTTGGTTTCATGTATCAACAGTTCATTATATCCTGTAAAAGGTATCCAGTTGCTGCTTTTCTGATTTTATTGGGAAAATAGTTACCTAGTTTGTTGTGCAAGTCTAGATTTAGCTCCAAATTTTTTCCAACCTGTATGCAAACTTCAAAAGAATAGCATAACTGGTTAACAGTAATGTATGAAAGGTACATTTTTCTAACAAAAAAAATTGCTTGTAACCCTTTATTCATATAGTTCTGACAAAGGGCTAACACTCAAAATGTCAGCTTTGAAACTCAACTGATAATACCAAATTACCTCGTACTCTTCCACTGATGCAGCACCATAGGTTTTTTGGAAACTTACCCCCTTTATATGTGTTAATAATGTCATATAAATTATGCAAAGGTCATCCCCTGTATGTAAGTGTTTTACAGATTATTTATTGACCTGACTGTGCCACTTTATGTTTGGGTGCAAAAGCAGCTTAGCCTAGGCATTTCCTCTTCATTCGTTTATTGCAAGGAGACTGAAACTGATCCTCCATCCCAGAATTTAAAAACTTCAAACGCACAAAACACTGTTTGATATCCATTAAGGTAAACTACAAACTGAAAAATGTCTACCCTCTGTGTCCTGCTCTGTCTTCCTTTGACAAAACACTTTTGAGAAAACACTGAACCAATGGTCCAAATGTCTGATCATATTAAAAAAATTAATGATAGGAAAGATAGTAGGAATAATGATAATAATACTTATAATTAAATATATAATGAAAATAGACTTAGGCTTTCATCCAAGATCTTTCATTCTCAATGGAAGAGAGATATTGTGGAACTCTCCTCCTTATTGCCAGGCTGCCTTTCAAACAACAAATGAAAAATTTTCAAGTTTGATTTTATATTCAACTGAAATGAAAAGATGCCTTCCTCTTCTCTATCTTGTGGCAAATGTGACCAGGTGTGACAACCCAAGCACTTTTGGGTAAGGTTTAGTATTGGCATCAATATTATTCTCAGGGACAAAAGTTGTGGGAGGCTTGAAAATTGGGATTAATGGAAAACAAGAGAGGTTGGTGGTGTGGTGTTGATTGAAGACAAACACTCATTCTTGTCTCAAAACTCAAACTTTTCATAAATGCACTTCTACCTCAAAACAGATATTCAACAGAATCTCATGAGATATATCTAAACACCAATACTACCTATTTACAAAGTTACCCTTAAATCTGTAAAGATTTGAACTTAAAAAAAATGTAATACACATTCTAGAATGTTTGGAGGCATATTTTAAGCTTACCAGTATCATTGATCAGCTGTTTTAAGTCATGTTTTCTGATAGCATTTTAAAATAGTTCGGGAATGGCCCGTAAATTCTATGAAAATGCTTATTATTTATATACCTGACTAATGAATCTGAGACTCCATATTGATTAACTCACAGGAGTCAAAATCTCACCATGGTGAGTAGGTGTTCTCAACTTGAACAGCTCATAAATAAGAAATTAAATCGAGCAGATCTTGAGTGTTTCTGGTTGGCTGAAATAACTTGGTCCCAAAAAATGACTTCATTTGTGCTTTATACAGATTTTACAAACTTTCTGAACATACATACATTAGTCTGAAGTATAATGGAGCTATTAAGAGGACATCTGCAAAAATCAACTTTTGTTGCAAGGCTTAAAAGTTCAAATTGTCTCAATTTTTGTACGTAAGTAGCCCCTAGTAAGACAGGAATTGCTTTCTATTGTTTTTCCTCAAATATGATTTCATTTTTGATAAAAGCAAACATTCCCTTTTACCCTCTGGAATCAATGGATTGGTTCATGCCTTTTGTTCCAAAGATATTCCATACAGAGAAATCTAACCAGTGTGTGCTCTTTCACACATTGCTCCTCTTCTGTAAATTGTAAGTTGTGTAGGAATTGGTTGCTTTGTTGGTTATAGCCACATGAAAAACAAAGTGCTCTCTTCAGTTACAAAAAAATGTCAGTGAAGATAACCTCTTTTTCACCATGTGCCATTTATCAGGATTCAATTTAACTACATATGTTAGTTAAATTGATGCAAAGTTTAGCTTAGGCAAATATTTTCTGGCAATGCAGGAAACTCCTCCAAAGAACACACAGATGGCATAAAATCATGCAATAAGATGATTGTGTGATCAATAAGTAAAGGAGCATTCCTGCCCTCAAAATAAGTTAATATCGAATAGGAGACCCTTTTCAGAGTCAAATAACATAGAGATATCCAACTTTGGCAAATTACATTATCTTTTATCATTTGAAGTTTGTTTCTGCAGAGATATTCTGCCTTCATTCTGTATTGTAGGATTATGCACTAGTGCAAGTAACAGTGTACAATTAAAAACTTTGGTGGTCTCTCACATACACATCTTAAGTTTCAGCCCCTTGTTTACTTTGCTACAAATGCTAACCTGTGCCTCTTAACTAGCCTATAGTAAACAAAAATCCACAAAATATTATCCTAAAGAAGCCCTTGCAGGAATTAAGTGAGGGCTTGTATAACCTAATTTGTAGAATTGGGGTACAAGTTGTCATGCTCATGTGACAGAATAATTTGGACCTAGGAGTGGGGTTGGTAAACATTATTTTAAAAGGCACAAATACATGGATGAAAAATAATAAGTCTAATTATCCATTAAGCTCAGGTTTCTCCTCCATTTGTACTTATGTTAAATTTATTCTCTGATCGAGTGAAACTGTGATGTTTGTTGAGTTTTCTTTTTTAAAAGTGAGGGAATTAAATCTATTTGTTTTTCTCATGTGAAACTAAGAAAAGGAATCATTGCCCACCTCCTTTGAATCAGAAGTCTCAATTGTGAATTAAATGGAACCTTATTGCTCATGTAAGTTTATAGTTGGACGTGCTTGCTTGTACAAGTGACATGACAAGAATAAATTAATTTAGGTAGTTCCCTTAGTGTCATGCAACAAGGATGTGCAGATTCATTGCTGTTTTGCTGAAGTTAAGAATGAGAATGAACATATCCTTGCTCAGGCAGGTATCTTTTACATGAGTTCAAAGGATGTAAATGCCTTTAGAATTTGTCCATTTCACTGTCCTGAGCTTGGCACTGGATGGCAAAGGAGCCAGAACACCTGCAGGATTCCAGATGAGATTGCTTCCCATGGCAAAGGAAAAGCTGTCAAAGGGGACAGAGGCATAAATAAATAAATAAATAAAACTACTTATATAGCGCTTATCCAGTCCTGTTCTAAGCGCTTTACAAAAATATTAAAATATCACACGTTAAAATAATATTAAAAGTAAGTCTTAAGTTAACTGATGTCTAAGATATAGGCGTTTGACATGGATAAGAAAATAGATCATACATTAAAGTAATTTTTAAAAAGACGAGTCTTAAGTTTACGTTTAAAAATATTTAAATTGTCACAAGAACGAATGTCATCAGGTAGTTTATTCCACAGTTCAGGAGCCGAAACAGCAAAAGCTCTATAGCCATAGGACTTGAGATTAAAGTTGACAGGAGTCAGACGCAATGTTGAAGACGAACGGAGCGTTCTTGAAGTTGAATAACGGCGTATTAGGTCTTGAATGTAGACAGAAGACTGCTGGTGAAGAGCTTTATGGGTGAGCAGAATTATTTTGAATTTAATTCGCTCAGAAATTGGAAGCCAGTGTAGGTCGAACAAAACAGGGGTGATGCGGTCGAATTTACGAGAGCTGGTAATAAGTCGAGCCGCCGCATTCTGCACTGATTGGAGCTTTTGGATAGCATATTTGGGGACACCGTATAAAAGAGAGTTACAGTGATCCAACTTGGAGGTTACAAAGGCGTGGACTAGAGTCTCAGTGGTCTTAATGGATAGTAATTTCCTTATACGGGAAATGTTCCGAAGATGATAGAAGGCAGATTTACAGACAGATTTGACATGAGGGAGCAGTGTGCGGTTAGTAAGGTAGGAGCGGAACCAGTCAAGTGCAGTGCCACGTATTGAGAATTTAGAATTCAATCTTTTGAGCAGTATTACATGGTCAACAGTGTCAACAGTTTTTGTGTTACTTGCCAATGCTTTGTAGTCATGTTTTTAATGGAAGGAGAGCTCCTGTGAAGGTTACCCTCACTAAAAGTTATTGTGGTTGTCATTGTCGTCATCTTCATCATCATTTCAGTTATAAATTTATAGTTCGAGTTATGGTTAAGAGGTAGTATAGAAGTGACTTGCTTTGAATTTGAAGGCTCCTGATCCATTGTGAAGAGAGACTAATAGGAAATAATAAGTGTTCATCCCATATAAGATTTCAATCTCTTTTAAACAATGCTGCCATTGTTGAGATCAGGGAACAAATATTCCCTTTGGCAAATGAAACTTGTCTTTTGAGAAACTAATAAATCCTTTTGGATAATGATTTTAATAATTAAATCAGTGATGCAACACAATACTAGATGGTTGTATTTATGGTCTCTTATGAAGAGACTAAATGAAGACATTGTTCCTATGTTGTTCAGTCAATTAACATTAAAATTACCCATGACTATTTGAATTGTGAAGAGTGGCAAATTAGATCAGACAATGCTTGACATGGCTGAGATACAGGTACTCTTGGTGAGTGATGTGTTCCAAAAATGTATGGATGTGGGGCAGTCATCAGCCTGAGAGCAGTTCTTTCAACTCTAGGATTGCAAGAGTATGGATAACCAGGATAATAATAAATAAGGCTATAAACTGTCATTCTTCCAAATGGTCTGACATTATTAGCCAATGGTGTAATGGTGTTCACAAAGATCTGTTGTGTGTAAGCTTTCTATAGTTGTCACTCTACTTAACCCTAAATAAGGTGTATGAAGATTTGCTTTTCTAGTGTTAAAGTTAACCACAACTCTAGTTTTGGTATCACCTTGTGATCTGTGAATAGTTTTAGCTGCAGCAGGTCGTAATGGTAACTGTTTTCTGACAACTTGTACTATTCTGGTTGCAACAGGTTTGATGGGTGTCCATGTGGGTTCAATACCTTGGACATATAACTGCCTATTGTAATGTCTGGTTTTGGTTCCAACATTAGCATGGTCAAATTTTGTCCACATTTTATTAGATGGTCTGTCTGTCTATCTGATGTACTTGTACCATTTTAATTACACTAGCAGCACCATTTGTTGTACCATCATCTGTTCTTGTGTTAAGAGAGATTTCAGTTCTCTCTAGGACTGCAACATTTAACATGGAAAACAGTGGTTCAGTTTTCCTCAGATCACTAGGTATTTGGTTCATGATTTCATCTCAGTTCTTGTAACTCAACTCCTATGACACTGTCACATGCTCTGATACTGTACTTAGCACCTGACATAGCTCAGTGTGCTCTATCATTGAACACATTGACTTTTGCATTCTGTATAAACAAGTGAGGAACAACTTTGGGGTGGTGGCAACTGTTAGGTTCTATTATTCTTTCTTTAAATTACATAATATCTCTGTAGTATGTTTTCCTTCTCTTAACCCATTCAACATCTCAGCAAATTCTTTGCCTTCTCTTTGTCTCATTATTTAATGTAGTTAAAACATGTTGAAATGTTCTTACCATCCATAATTGGGTAGAGTTGGAATAGATCACCAATAGCAACAATACCAACACTGCCAAAAGGTAGTAAACTACCTGTAATGTCCTTTAGTCTGTTGTTGATTTGAACATTAAACATTGTGTTGACAACCATGCATGTATATTTCCTTTATGAATATCAATTTAACTCAAACAAGCTGACTTCTTAATGTGTTCAGTTTACTTGAATCAAGACATTTGTAGTTTATCAATGACTGACATGCAAGTGTTGCAAGTGCACTATGTATTGTGTTATCTTTAATATTATATGCTGCTTACCAGTAAGTGCTAACATTAAGACCTTAATGTCACTAAAGTTGACATCAGCTCTAGCATTATAAATACTTTTAGGCTACTTGAAAGAGTGCTTTTGTGAGGTGAGATTTACCCACACCGGCCACTCCACTCAAAAAACAGTTGAATAGCTTATCAGATGTTTTTATTAGATGTAGTACATGAAAGGAAAAATCCTTTTGTCCTTTATTAAAAATTTGAACCATGCATTGTTATTCATAATCTTGCAATTCATTTAATACTAATGGCTCCATGTTTGCATCTATTGAGGGAATACCAATGTCATCCTGCATGTTATAGTTCTCATTAAAATCAGGGTATAAATCAGTACTACCTTCAACCTGGTCTTGGTGTTCAACACTCTGAGTACCAGGTGCTATACAGTCATAAGTATCTTCTACATTGTTCATTTCTCGTTGCATTTCACTGAAGTATTCATGACAGACAACATATTGTTTCATTTTTTATTTAAAGCAATGTTGATATGAGAAGCAGAAACCAATTAAATCAGTTTTTCATTTCACCATGGAGTGAAACGCATAATAAGCTCATGGTAGTGCTTTTCTGGATGTGCTTCCTTACTGAACCACTCACTTCATATGACTCTAGCTTTAGTTCTTTTCTCGGTCTTACTAGAAGTGTCTTTCTTAGAAACTGCATCATCACCATCATCAACATCATCATCATCATCATCATCATCATCATCATCATCATCACCATCATCATTATTATGATCATCATCAGTACATGTCTCTAACACACAATATTATCAGTATCTAATTCACTAGATTGTTTTACATATGGTTTTCCACATGAATCATAGCATGGAGCCCAGTCTGCAAGTGTCAGTTCAAGTTTTTGTGGACAGTTACGATATGTTTTTAACAAGCTACTAGTCTAGATTTCTCCCTAGTCATTTTCCATATCTTTAAAATCATTAATTGGCTTTAAAAGCTCCACTCTCTCTTCAGGAGATAAAGTATTTACAATTATAACTTGCCAAGATTCCTTTCTCATAGGAAGTTATAAAACAATATACACAGCTTCTTGAGCATTTATTTCAACATTCAAAAATTTACTTCCAATGAGTCTGACTCACCGTTTTATATCATAATCCCCTTCCTTTGCCTCTATACGAGCCTGTCATAAAAGTTTGCTCATTCCTTTTTGAGCCTTTGATATATAATTCACCATAAACACCACATGCATAAACATCTAAGACAAACTGAATATCCATATTTGCTCTCCATGCACTAAGACAAGCAGGATTGTGATTGTTTATCCTCGATTCATTTGGATTTCTTTTCAAAAACACAGCAGTTGCATGAAGTGATGAGCTTACAGCAAGTACGTAGTTTTCTTCTGTGAGACTGAGCTCAAACAGTGACTGATCAAAGGAAATATCTTCACCTTCTTTCATATCATTTAGATGCTTTTGGATTGATTTCCATGCATCTTTGTGTCTTTTTATTTCATGCTGAGATATAGTGGTATCTAGAGGATACAGAATTTCTGTCTGTTTTGTGGGAGGCTGTGGGTAATTGAATCGACATTCACTTTTTGCATTCTTCCGACAAGTATGAGAATGTCTGCACTTGTCTGTTTAGTAGTTTAAGTATTTTGTAGTTGTCTGTTGGTCTTTGACAAGTTATTATATTATCTATATATGATGCCATATCTGCATCACTGTCTATAGAAAACTGTGGTGCATTCTCAAGTCTATTGACATGTGAATATGAGGTAAACCTCTTTGCTGGTATTCAGCTCTGTGAAACCAGTTAGAAATCTTCCTTAGAGGTGCAACATCACTTAAGGGAAACTTTGTGAGAAACTGACCAATTTGATAGTCAAAATGTCTGGCACAAGTTACAGAATCACTATGAATCAATCTACATTTTTCTTCCCAGTTCAAATTCTCTAGTTCATAGTCGGTATATTTCTTCTGATCAACAAGTCAACCGAGTGTTCTAAGAAGGTGTATCCATTGTGTTTCTGCGGATGAGAAACTACAAAACAAGGAAGCTGGATCTAACACTCTTATCATTGCAAAAAGGTCCCTTTAGCTTTCACAAAATATGGAGGAGAACCTCTTAAAGCTCAAAAAAATTTAAATCCCTCATGATGACAGATTAAGCTGTCCAATGTTCCTTGTTATTTTAAATTGCCTGCATTTAGGATTCTGCTATTTCCCCTACATTTTCTGAATGCAATTTTTGCTTGTCCTAAAAGGATTTCCGTTTGTAAATTTTTTGTTTTACAGAATATATTCTCAACACACATGGCTGCTCTTCTATCTGACCTAAGTTCAGACTTAAAGATTTCACTGTAGTAGACTTTAACCATATGTTCCTTATTTTCTGGTCTTATCTGGCCAAGAAATATTCCGAGATATGCTTATTCTTCAGAATTTTTATCTCTGGATACACTCAATGGACTATTATGCTCAGCTGGTGCAATTAACTTTGAGAATATTTTGACATTCAGGGGCTTCTAAAAAGCTGGTTGATGTTAGCCTAGTATCAGTAACGCCTGCCAGAATTTCTACTTCATCTTCACCCCATTCATCTTCGCCATCTAGTTTTTTTAAAAATTTACATTACTATTGTTGCTGTTTATATCAGCTATTACTGAATGTTGATCACATGTATTGTCACAATAGTTTTCATGTGGTAAAATTTCTTCAATGTACTTAATAATCCAATCTTGGTTCATTACATTACCTCCATCTTTTCAAAGATTACTATTACTTGTGAACCACAATGTGCCTTCAACAACTTTATGAGGTCTTACACTTGATGACATTGCAGAACTCTTGTATTGCAACTTTCTTTTTAAATTCACTTTTACTTTAGCAGTCTCACTAGATAACCGTGGTACCATGCTGACTGTATAAGTGACATCTGCAGGCACATTTACATTATTACTATGAATATTGAGTTGCTTTCTCTTAGGGGTTTGCATTGCATTTTTGATATGCAATTCTTGGTGCTAGCAATCTATGTGCTAATTCATTGCGATAAAAAATGCTGGTTTTTGTGGGAATGCCAAACCATTGACAACAGCACATGGTGGAATTCTGTTTTTAACCAAGTGATTATAGCATGTTTTACAAACCCATGCAATGTCATCAACACATGTCTTATTACTGAGATACTTGTCAATATCTGGGTTGGACTGTCAACACAAAATACACTATGATTATACCATAACTGATCACAACAAGTACTGATGTACAGTGGAACTTGAGATACCACTTCAAGTATCCAAGATTGAATATTGATTGTGCACTTTGCTCTACAACTTTTCATGTATGCATTATTTTTGGCATTTTCTTCTTCAGATGCTTTAGATGCCATTTAATTCTTCTTGTATATTCTATGCTTTTCTTTTTCCTCTGCTGCTTTAGCTGTTCTGTATTATCTCACTAAATGAGCTCTTTTTCCTGTTTGCTATTGCTTGTTGTATCCTTTTGTGTCTTTGTTTCGTTCTATATTCTCTCATGTAGGCATTTGGCCTTTTTTGTTAATTTTCACTTGATTCAATAACATCAGTCACGAAAATTTGCATGGCTGACCTGTAATTCCTTCATGATATTTTTCGTTGGGTTGGGATTTCAGAATTGTAGCTCACCCTGTCAAAGGGCTGCCAGACAATGTTGAAGCATCCAAGAACGTGTTAGGGCTCTCCACTGAATACACTTTCATTGATGTCCAAGAGGGCACAGTGGACACAGTATTTGATGGATGATGAAAACCTTTTAATTAAGTTGATGGTCTGCGAATGACATTTGATTCCTAGAAGATCAGCTAGATCATTGTCATGAAGGATATGCTTATTTTGAGGATTTTGGATTTCCAAAACTCCTTCACAGTTTTCATTTCAACCTTCACTCTTTAATGTGTCTTGAAGAGTGTGACCAAGGCTATTGGGTGAATAATTACCTTTAGGAATTATCTTGAGAGTTGCAGTGCTATAGGCATTGAATCCAGAGATTTCTCCAGTTCACTTCAAATTAAACCAAGGGTTAAAAAGAGAGCAGCTCACCAGCCTATGTTGATACTTTTTGCTATCATGCCTGAGAGGTTTGCGGAAGTGAACCATATGATCATTTGAATTGGCAGT